CCCTCTTTCCTGGAGAGGATTTGCGGGCTGCTTGTCTTTGCAGTTCCTCAGTCCAGAATTTACTGCTTCTATGGACGACTTCAGCTAACTGGATTTATAATGGATCGTTCCCACCGTCTGGAATCCGCTCTTTTTGCACAATCCATTTGTAAGTGGTCGTTTCCAGGTTTGCTGTATCTGTAAGAGCCGTTGTACTTCCTTTTGTCTCTCAAGTTTGTAAAACAAAGGAACTTTTTCTTTGAAATTTTATTTTTTTTAATTCTCTTATAAATAGGATATTACAGAACCGAGAAACATATGTATTTGGTTATCAAATAATTTCTCTTTTGTCGTATTTGACTGTGTCACTCCAGTTAAAATAAAACCACCTTGGTGAAATGACAAGGCATTTCTTTGGACCTGTTTATCTGTCAGAGGACCTGGAAAGGTCTGCCGCCTCCTCTAAAGACCCTGTTAAGCATTTATCACAGATACCTCTATTTCAAGAATCGTCTCTTCCCCGCAACGGAAAAACACAGTGTGAACGGCACTGATCTGTGTAGTCAGGCCGGACTCATTCCCCTTAAGCACAATCCACGCCAGAAGCACAGACCCAGATGCTGGGAGCAGTTTTAAAGAAACCCAGATGCATATTACGTAATGATTGATTTGACCAAACAAATGGAACTAAAAATTTTAAATGTGTAGAAAGTACGCATGAGAAAAAAAAATCAAAAACCCTCCCCGCACCTTGACTTGAGAGAATTGAGTTCCATGAACGCACTGAAGACGTTGACTATTCTGAGCAACGCGCTACGGCCCGGGACAAGTCAGTCACAGGCACCACGACACAAAATGAATCTATTAAGTCTGATCGATAGTTAACATAGATGTTGCTAAAACAGCAAGCCGATGTGACTTGTAAACAGTAACAAAGTGCTTTGAGTGGCCAGGCAATACCCACCTTACTGGTAAGAATGCGGTGCTCTAGCTGAGCTGCCTATATAAGAAAAATGGCATAACATAAATGATTTTTGCAGCAGTGAAGTTCTAAATAGGAGGGCACTAACACAGCATTGAAATGAAGACTGTGGTTTCTCACCTAGAAACCAAGCAAGGTTAGACTTACGGGGTCCGTGAAATCTCAGACATCACATGCAAACATATTTATGCATATGCATTTGTGCATCTTTCTGGGATATGGGTTCATATCCCATATGTTAATTTCACATCCCACATGTTTGTTAGATTTCAAAAAAGCCCATGAAGGCCTCCCCATCACCCTCTAGAGCCCACCCTCCAACCCCCACCACACACACACATATAAAGAACTTCTGTCATGGTAACACCCTTCCGGGAACAGTGAGGGCTTTTTAATTTCTTCATAGAAAAAAAGCATTATTATAAACATGCCTACAGAAATACGAGTACGTGAAAAACTTCTAATGTCTCTAAGCCAGCTCAGTGCCTTCTTTTCATTGAACATGACTATAAGAAAACATGCAAGAGGTTAAGAAGTCGTATTTATTGCTTCTTTGGTACAACCAGAGATGTTACCTCAAACCTTAAAAGAAATAAATAACCTCATCAATAAAACTTATGAATGGCAGGACAGTAAAATTCCGTCTTTGCTTTCACACAGAAGAGCCCAAAATATTAACAGGTTGGAGATGCAATACAGTCCGAAAAAATCCAAGCCAACTGTGAAAACCACCAAGGCTGAAAGGAAGTCACTCCACGTGGTCCAGCCTTCCCTGCAACTCCCGAGAGAGCACACTGATGGGGAGTTTAAGCACCAATTCTGTCATCTATAGTGGGGTTTCTTGGTACCTACTCTGGTAATCCTCTGAAGAGCTGAAACAACATATGAGAACAAGATCTAAATTTAAAAATGAAAGTAACTACCGCAGTTGAGGTAACCAAACCGTTGTTTTTGTTTATTGGCGCAGAGGCCCACAATGTGTATAGCACACTAAGGTTTAAGATCCTGGGGACAGGATTGTAATTTACTTCAAGGGAGGGGTTTTGTTTGTATCACTGACGGCTCTGCTGGCTCCCATCCATGGGAAAGTAAAGAGGATTTATTGAATAGCACCATTGTTCTAAATCTGATTGTCAGGTAGGTCTTCTGGAATAACCTTGAAGGTGATGCACTGTCCCTTTGCCTTGGCTTCAGGTAGTGTTTCTCTCCCAAGCTTCTTCTCCAGGCATGGTTTATGCCGACAGCGGTGCAGCGCTAAGCCTTTCGCTGATCAGGACCTTTGCTAAATGCCCGCTGGCCAGCCTGCATGGTGCAGGAGGCTGGCTCACAGAAACCAGGAGGGCCAGGAGGTCCTGGGGGGCCAGGCACACCAGGGATGCCTGCCACTCCTGGGGGGCCTTGCTCACCATCCCGGCCATTCCTCCCGTAGCTGGCAGGACCCGGGTCACCTGAAACACACAAAAGGTTGCACATATGAACAGGGCACCCCTCGTGGCTGCAGACTGGCAGGAGGCACTGGACCTCCCACTTTCCAGCAGTGTGTTCAAATGGCCTTAATAAATGCTTTTGTAGCAGGCAGGGCATAGCTCAAGTGGTAGAACACATGCTTAGCATGCACAAGGTCCTGGGTTCAATCCCAGGTAACTCCTCCAAAAAAATAGATAAGTAAACCTAATTACCTCCTCTCCTCCAAAAAAAAAAACATTTAATGCTTTTGTAAATGATAGAGGATGACTAAAGATGAGGTTGAAAAATGAAGACAATGATCCTTAAAGCTATTTGTCTGAGGTTTTGCCCTATGAAAGTGGCCAGAGGGAAAGACTCGCCTTCCCATAACAGCCTATCAGCTTCTGGTGAGCCCTGGCCCTGGGCTCCAAGGTGCTCGGAGACTATTCTGTGGGAACCTAATTTTGGGGTGACAGCAAGTCACATTCAAGTTACTCAGGAAGTCCATTAACAAATATCTAAAAACTATTTTTCAACTCTTACAAAGAGAAAGCCCGGATCCAGAGTGTTCTCATTCTGCCTTGCTGGCCTCACGGGTGTGTTAGCTACACTAACTGTCTAACGATTATACAGTTTTCCGAAATTTCAAGGACCCATAAAATGTTACTGCCAAACATTTCGTGATTTCTTAAAAATGAACATCGATGTCATTCTCTGTATTGACACTAGGGGGCAGTTGCGTTACACTGATGGAGGCTCAACGTGCCAGGACCCTTCTGAGGGCTCTAATGACACTTGCTGCAGAATCACAGGGACGGCGCACCCAGGCTTAAAAAAACATGGATAAACTTTCGGCATTAGTTAGAGAATTTCTTACACGTCTCACTTTGTCCTGAGCTAACTTTTGTGGTGTTAGACAAAGCAGGTTATGTTTAAGGAACTGGTGTATGAAGTGGTTTGTTTACTTGAGATCCCCAGGACCAAATAAAATAGTGGAAACTGGACAGACGTGGAAACAGGAGAAATGACTATCGCTAGACTTAAGCTTCAAACATGGGTGCCCTTTGTATTGGGGGATTTTTTTTCCCACTCAACATTCACAAGCAAAGCTCACCTATCTGCAGATTTTGCACAAGAAATCTGGTCCCGTGGCCTGGTGTGGCGAGCACCACATTCCTGGTGGTCCACACACGACCGTCATTTAGCTGACTCCTCTCCCCGGTGCGTTTAAATGCACAAAAAGAAGTCAAGACCCAACCTTAAATATCTTTTCCTAAAATCCCCAGAGTGCCAAGGAACTGGTCCCCAGTGGACAAGTCTGGGGCAGCGGGCAAAGAGTAACTCTTGATGGGACAGCCAGTCAAGCAATGCCACGAAGGGTTCTGGTGAGAGATGGAAGGTGGGGGCAGGGATCAGGGGTCTAAAGTCCCGCGGATCCCGCTCTGTGTGATCTGCACAGCTCTGTGAGAGGCAGAAGAGGAATCAAGACACTGAGTAGTTACTGGACATGATGCCTCAGACGGCAAGAGAAGCTCATCATACACCGGCCCAGGCTGCCCATCCTTTCGTCCACGACGTGAACCTGGACACATGCATATCCGCCTCTGTCATTCACCCAAGACCTTCGTCAGGGCCTGTGACCTGCGTTATGTCTGTATCTCTTCAAATATAAAAGGAGGAATGACATTAGCAGTAAGAGGTAAATTTACAGAACATTTGCTACAAGCCAGGCACCATTCTAAGTGCTCTACAGGTATGAACACGTCCACAGGTCCTCCTGAATGACGCCGGACAGTAGGCGTGCTTATTCTCTCCACCGTGCAGAGAAGATGCTAGCGCACCAGAGGGAGTGCAGCTGAAAATACGCAAAAGGGCAGTGCGCACACCCGGGCAGCCGGGCTCGAGTCCGCACTTCTCACCTGCCTGCCCTGCCTGCCTCCGGCCGCGAGAAACTCACTGATGCTTTCTGTCGACTTTAACACAGCAGAGCACGAAGGCCAAAATGACAGTCCATGTAATGGTGATAACAATGCCCTGTGGTCTGTATTAGGCAGCGGACCATCACAACCCCAAAGGGCACATAATCCTTAGCACTGAACCAACTGAGAGGTAAGGAGGAGAGACAGAGAGCTAAAACTGGCTGGAGGGAATGAAGGAATTCTGATCAGTGGATAGATAATAAAGGTGTCAGTGCCATTTTTTCAAATTCATCAGCTATGTTAGCACCAAGAAGAAGGACCAAATGGTTTTCTCACTCGGGAGGCTGAGTCCCAAATCCAACAACAGGGACAGCAAAGAAGGTCGCAGAATACTCTGTTCTGCAGGCTCTTTCCTTTACATGAGATATAGAAGGTTCTGGACAAGGTCCTGAACAGAGCCCTGTTGAAGGTTCCCCCAGGTCCTAACGTCCCATCCTTGTTAGGTTTGGGAGAGACCAGAAATCACATTCTAACCCCATTCCAAACTCTACCAAGGAAATTAAGAACGGCCCAGCCTCTCTGAGGACAGTGAGCTGGTGACACGATTTGCTGTGAGCCAGCACTTTGCGTTTATGATGTGGAGTTCAAGGAGATTTCGTGGAGGGAAGGTCTGAGGGGTCCGGAGTAGTAGCATCTTCCTGCTGAGCGACAGCCAGGAAAAGGCCACCAGGGCTGAACCAGGGTCCAGCTCTGCCCTCCATCCACCTCCACACACAGAAGTGGGTTTGTTATATTACTAGTAGTACCACGCATGAACCTGGATTGAGCAGGGACAGTAGCCAGCAACTGTCCTAAGCACTTTAAGATGGACTAGTTTTTTCTTTTCATTCTCAGAATTATGCTCTCCGGGAGATGGGACTGTTGATTATTATCTCTCCTTTATAAGTGGGGAAGCTGAGGCACTGAGCAGCTAAGACTTTGTCTAGTGTCATGAAGCCAGTTAATGACCGTCAAGACGTGAGCCAGGTGTCTGAACTGTGGGGCCCAAGCTCCCAGCTGTCCCCTTTCAGAGCACTCGCTTTAGGGGAGAAACAGCCCCCAAAGCTCTTGCTCAGGGACTTGATGGATTTGGGAAACTGACAGCTGAGCACGTTTACGTGCAGACAAGAGGATGTGAGCTGACGGAAAGTCAAAGCCCCAGCTGGGGCCTCCGGGGGGAGGGAGAGATACAGACCCCATGAGCCTGGGTGCTAAAGCCCTGAGCAAGTGGCATGCTTTGGAAAGTTAGCCTTAATTTTAAAAAAATAATAATAATCTATAATCTGGGGCAGGGGAGAGTATACTCAGTGGCAGAGTGCGCACTTAGTAGGCACGAGTTCCTGGGTTCAATTCTCAGTGCCTTCAAAAAAACAAATCTGTTACTCTGATTTTTCACTAAATGATGTCAAATATCCTCTCAATGAAAAAGTAACCAAAGCCCCAAAAAAGGAAGACCAGATTTCCGAGCGGGACCGGGAAGAGAGGAGCACGGGCTGGCAAAAGGCAGAAAGGAAACCCAGAAGGGAAGGTGTCCGAGTCCTGAGACGGGGAGCCCACGGGACTTTTTAATCAATCAGATTTAAGGATTAACTCCAAGAGCGGCTGCAACAACATTTTTTTCATCAGGGCGACAAGATCAGGGCCAGGGAGAGCTGCCAGTGATGAGCTTGTCCCACCTCACCGGCTGCCCGCACACGGACGGACAGCAGCGGAGACGCCTCCCGGCGCCGCGCGAACCCCAGGTGAGCTGCCCCAGGTGGGAAATAGCGCCCCTCGTGGCGGCCAGGGGCACTGCGCAAACGCGAGAGGCTCTTCCTTAACCTCCCCGTTCTTAAACTTAAAATGTGGCTCATCCATAGATTTTTTTTTTTTAAATTAAGAGTCACCAGAAACGATCATATGTTTTTGATAAAGGAAAACCTTGCCAACCGTGCACGTTGCTGGTCCAAGAACTGTTAAGTGATTTGTTAACAAAATGGGAGGAGAAATTCTAAGGCTCTTCTTATAGGATTTATAACCCACAGATAATTAAGTAAATCGTAGTGATGCTATTGTATCAGCTTTAAAACCTCCTATTCCTACCATTGATAAAGGAGAGGAGCACTCAGAAAAGTCTCTTTTCTTCTTCTCTCTTCTAAACGTCCAGCAATGAATCCAGACTCTATATTAAAATCTTCTCTTGGCCTCATTTAACTCCAACCAGATTTTCTTTCCTTTTCCAATCATAAAAGCCTCCTTTTCCAATCACAAACAATCATCGATTTGTGAAAACGTCTCGACAGGCCCATGAATCACAGTCTTAGAAAGGCGGTGTTTGAGCCCTCTCCAAATGTATTCGTATTTTTTAAGAAATCTTTTAAATGAGAAAATCCCCAGGTGCAATGAAATGGATAATTAGAAAGCAGCGATGTTAGGGGCGGCAATTATAACCACGATTGAATATGTAAGCCACTGACAGAATGAGAGAACCATCTTTTCTTTCTCTAGATTTTCTTCGACCAAGTTTTTCAAATCCACTGTGGGAGCGTGTACCACCTTCCTTGCTCCTTCAGCACAAACCCCCTCCTCTGATTCGCCTCCCCAGGGCTTCGGGGACCTTCCTGAGGCACGGCCCCACAGCGACCGGGGAATTTGCTGGGAGGCTGCGTGCCATTCACACTCTTAAGCTGCTTCTGTGGTTGGACTTGGAAGTCATCCCCCAGTGGATGAGCAAGCGGCCGCTGAGACTCCGGCTACAGAGTAACCAGTGTGTAAAGAGAACGGATGCCCAAGAGAATCTGGGCCCTTCACACACAGGCTACTTTGTCACTTCAGTTGACTCAGATGCATAGCTTTGGGGTGTGGCTTTTGGTGGCCAGGGGTAGGAATGTTCAGGTTTATTTATTTTTGGATATGGACTTCTGGAGGGTCTGCATGTTTGAAGGAGAAGCTTTGAAAATAACATTTCAGTTACTCCCTGGGCAACACAAACAGTTGAAAACATGGTTTCATTTTCCTGTCACTCTGACTTTTTAAACAAAGAGGAAACGATCAGCTGGAGTAGAAATGGATAAAACCCCCGTCACTCAGAATTTCATAACAAGTGCCTTGTGGCTGCACTTTGACACTATGTTTTTCAGTATTTATTCGAGAAAGTAATGTGTCAGGTGGGGGGAGGGTATAGCTCAGTGGTAGAGCATGTGCTTAGCATACATGAGGTCCTAGGTTCAATCCCCAGTACCTCCATTTAAAAATAAAATTAAAAAATAAATAAATAAGCCTAATTACCCCCTAAAAACTAAAGTGCTATTTCACGCCCTAATGTGTATTCTCGCTCAAAGAATTCAGAAATGATTTACAGATCATCTAACTCTTCACTGAAGTTGGTCTTGAAAAATCTATGCCAGCCATTATTATCATGTGATACACTCAAGTAATCAAAGAGCAATTCTTTGAAATATTATCCCATTCAGACTTCCCACTTCTACCAGTTCCCCCACCTCACACTTACCTGGGAGACCTGTCGCTCCGGGCAAACCTTTGGGACCTCTTCCTGGAGGGCCACGATCACCCCTTTCTCCCATGTCACCTGGATTTCATTAGAGAAATGTTATTTTTCTATGTATCTATGAAAATAAAGTTCCATATTTTTAAACTTAAAGCAAAGCCTACATTCAGAAATCAAAAAGTTATGTTCTTGCTACAGACTAGATCATAGTACATATGTAGCAAGGCAAAAATCAAGTTAATTATTTTAAGAGGTCTAAGGGGAAAAATTAAACGATTATATCCCTAGATGCTGAAAAGACACCTGACAATTAAACATGCATTCCTGATACAACATTCAATAAAATAAGAATCTAGCTACTTCCTCAGCATGATAAAGTCTATCTGTCTTCACCCCAAAACTGGCGTGATGCTTGATGCGAAACACAAGAAGCAGCTCCACTCCAGTCAGGACATTATAAAGATGCCTACTTTCTTACTATTATTTATTATTTGGTGTAAGCCACCCCTGTTCTCAGGTGATATGGCTGTTTATCTTACACCCTAGAAAAGCAACTCAGAATCTTCTACAAACAATAAAAGAATTCAGTAAAGGAGCAAAGTACAAAGTTAATATATGGAAATCAATAATTTTCACATATACAATCAGTAATAAGATGTAGTGAAAAAAGATCCCATTTGTAATAGCAACTAAATTATTAAATAACCAGGAATAAGTTTAATCAGAAATATGCAAATCCAACCTGGAAAAAAATTTAACAGAAGATTAAAAACAACCTAAATATCCATTGAAGGGTTAAATACATGGTGGTGCTTTTTTATAGAGTAGAATAGTATGCACCTGTGAAGAAGAACCAGGAAGCTCTTTGAAATGATCCCCAAGACATTGTTAAGTGAAAAAAGCAAGGGCCAGACCACTTACTAAAGGACAATACGACTTGTTATTAAAAGGCTGTAAGGAAAAATATACATTCACAGATCATCACGGGTATGGATATGTATGTAGGAAGCTAATAATAGTGATTACCTAATGGAAAGGAGAAAGGAATCGAGGCAGATGGGAGACAGGGCTGGGAAAGAAGACATGCTTCACTGAATATCTTTTTATACATTTTAAAATTCTTGAACAATGTAAATTTAGTATTACCAAAAATAAATTAATGAATTTTTGAAATTTAGAGTATGCTGTCATGAGGGGGTACATTTCACTTCTGCCTCATTATTTACAGGGAATAAAGGAACTTTGGATTGCAACCAGCCATGTGTCTTTGCAAGACAGTTGAGTTCGGGGATCCAGCAGCCACAGAACAAAGCTGTGTTAATTAAACTGGCCCCTGCAGAGACTAAACCCGGAATCTTGGCCTCATTAACACAGTGTCTCAATACCTTAGTCAACTGGTCCTAAATGACTTCTACTGCTCCTAGTAGGAGACATATTCTGTTTTCCCACCTTATAGTATTACATTATTATTTTACTACATTGCTAGAAGATGCAATGGCATTTTGCAACAAATTCTATACATAATCATTTTTTCCAAATATTCATATCAGCTCAACCTCATCCAATATTGTCAGGTTCATTATAATTTAAAAAACTAAGTCACACACACAACAAAAATAGAAAGAATATCTGTACAACCATCTGCACACTTGTCAAACAGTCAAAAATCTCGAATTATGAAATGAATCTTTAAATAGTTACCATACTTCAATTTTAGCTGTGAATTTCCTTGTGTGAAGATTTTTTTACGATGAATCAACTACCTTTTCAAAACAATTTAAGTTTTATAAGTATTGTGTAAGGATATACAGCTCAGCTCGAACCCACACAAACTAGCTCTTTTTTACACTCATCACCAATATGGCCCTACTGCGTTAGGAAGATAGGACAATCAGTATTTTTAAAACTAACAGCTTAAGCTCTCTTGTTAACTCAGCAATTTAAATGTCATATCGCTGCAATTCTCAAGGCTGGCCATTAGACTGTGCCTCACTTTCTGAAGATACGATATGAAGAGGATAAATTAAAATGCAGCTTTCCACAGGGATGGTGTGGTAGGGAAGAACAAACTTGACTCCATATGAGATCTGTTCCCCTAGCTTCAACCCTGTGCTCTGTGTCCTGTGCTCAGTCATGCTGGTTCTGCACCTTTTGTAAAAGAATGTTGCCTACGGCCTGAAGTAGACAGGAGAGCCCATTCTCAAGGCTCTGACCCTTAAGCATATAACACTTTTCCATTCATACAGAGATAAGAAGTTGCAGAACGGAGAATAACATTTGACAGAGCCCTGAGACAAGGCATAGTGACATATCTACTTGACTCACACTAAAAAAATCTAAACATACACACAGCTTCACTCAAAGAGACTGAAAACTACCCCAAACCCCTGAACATTTAAAATGTACTTATGACATGAAAGACTGACTTGATCCTAAGCAAGGTGAACACAAGGCCAGCCGGGGATCTCTCGTGTTTCTGCCCGAGCGTCACGTGATATGGACACACATGAAACAGATGCACAGCAAGGCTGTGGCTCTAACATGTTTGTATCAAAGCATATAAAGCATGGGGACTAAAGCCAAACACACATCAACACGACTTAAGCTTTAAGTGTGATTTGAGGCCTGTTTCTATGAGTTCCTATTAAAAATGTTCTGCTGTGTTTTTCAGAGTAATTTTTTAGAAAGAAAACAGTGATTTGATTAAGACATAGCCTGCACTATTAAATGCTTTAGTAAAACCTATTTTAGTAAAACTTGTCTATGCAGCAATTTCTCTGGAAAAAGACGCTCAAAGTGTCTTTTTTGTCTCCATGGCAAACCAAGACCTACACCATTCTTTCCTTATTAAGTGAAAAAAAAAAGCAACAGGGTACAATGAAACACATCTCTGATCAGAAGAACATTAAGTTTCAAATGGTGGAGTGTTTATTCTGAAAAAAAAATTTGATCTGTAACCTTTGGGTAGTAGAACACTACGTGTTTTCTACCATATAGGACTTTTATTTGGTGTATGTGATGGACAAGAAAGATTAGGTCCACTAACCTAGAATCATACATTCCCAAATTGTGACAGTATTGACTGATACAGTCCATCTGATTATTCCTTTCTGTCCACACTCCAAATTTTAAGAAGTAAAACTGAGAGAAGACGCTGTTTTAAAGGAACCCAATGCCAAGAAAGGTATGGGGGGGAGAAAGTTCTTTGGGAAGAAAAAAAAAAGAACTCTATCACGTCCAGATTCTAGCCTATGTCACAAATACTGCGGGAAAAAACAGTCCCTTATACGATCAAACTGTGTTTGATGAATGAACTTACTGCTAGAGACCTTTTCCAGGTTCCAAATACAGAAACAGATTTTCCTTCCTTTCAAAATAAGGTTCACCTGCTAGGGCCAACCCAGCCCAGCCCAGACACAACTCCACACTGCAAGGCCAAGCCATCCCAGGACGTTTCCAGAACAGCCTCCTGTATTTCCAGTGCTTCTCAGCCCTGGCTGCACATTAAAGTCACCCGGGGAGCACTGTGAGAGCCTGGTGCCCACACTATGTAAATCAAAGTCTCTGGGAATGGGACCCAGACACTGGTAGTTTTCAAAGGTCCCCGTGTCAGTCAAGTGTGTAGCCCGGGCTGGGTAGGCAGCCCTCAGCGGACTCTCCCAGGGAAGCAGGCAGACAGACATTTTCCTTTCTCCGGGAATAAGATGGGACTTCAGGGGTGGTCTCTTACTAAGTCAGAGTTAAGCTCTGTCCCAAATACGGAGACTTCGCTTTAGCCAGAGGAAACAGGGCTGTGACGCCCACCGCCCCGCAAGATGCTCCTTCTCGGCAGAAGACGGCTGACCGCCCCCCACCAGCGCACCGACCCTGCTGCCCCCGCTCCAGGGTTTCTGATTCAGCGGCTCTGGGCCGGCGGGAGAACCTGCCTTCCCAACAGGTCTCTGATGATGCGGGCGCGGAGGGGCCGCTCTTTGGGAACCACGGCTCATCAGGGACTCGGGCGTGGGCGCCGGCACAGCACAGACAACTAAGCCGCAGTCCGCCCGCGGCGGCGGACCTTCCTCGAAGAGGTGCCGCAGGGAGCAGGGCCCGACCCCGGGGGACCCCTCCGGTAGGAATTCCCGAACCGAAGCTAAAAGCAGGACCAAGATGAGCAGCCACGGGATTCTTTCGAACACCCGGTTCTCTTTAAGACGCACTCTGAGCTCTCTCCGTGTTTGACTCTGTCCAGCCTCCGAAAACATGGAAATCTGCCAGGGTGACCAGGGGCCCCCATTAGGGCTCATTTTTTTTAACACGCAGCTCTGCGCATGCCAAATAGGAAATAATGAACAACACTGCTCCAGCTGAGGGTGCAGTGAGCGGAAAGCATCAGCAATTCACTGACAGATCCAAAAAGGCAGCTGGCTTGACTTCTGACCATTGGCACCATAGTATTTATCCCTAATTGGGGCACCCCTGTTTAAAAAAACACACATCCCTCTCTTGGTTTTGATGCCACGTCTTTCTGAAGTTCCCCGGAGAGCTGTCAGTCACTCGTCATGATACATAAACTCCTCGCTCTCAGTCCTCTCCGTAAATTACCCAGGGCACACCCCCACCCCAAGCTGACAGACTTACTCAGCTCAACTAGCAAGCACCGCCGGGGGCAGCCAGCCCTCCTGCAAGTTCTGCGGAGTAGCTAGCCCACTCATAATCCTATTTTCCTGCAAAATAGCTGGTCTCGGGGGCTTAGCTTGCTTTCAACAAATGGAGAAGAAACAAACTCTCTCACAGTCTCTCATATTTTAAATAAGGAATAAAATTAGATTGAATTTTAGAGCTGAAAAAAAAAATGCCTCAAATCTGACAGCCAGTGTCACTCTTTAAAAGAAGAGGGAGGCAAGAAGGAGGAGGAGGAACGGGGGTGGGGCAGAGGCAGCGTTAACTCCTGATGTGACCTGTCTGATGTCCTGCTAACACGCTGCGTTAGTTTAAGCTAACACGTACAAACCTTCAAGGGATGGTTGCCATCTCAGAAGAGCTCTGTGATGATTTTCAGGGTTTCAAGAAAAAGAAAAAGAAAAACCTGAATGATCCTTTACCAGATCCCATGAGGTTTATTTTCAACTATGGTTAACGCAGAGTGTAACGGAAAGATCGACACCAAATGGCAGAGGACCTTAATTCTGGTGTTTGGTCTACTGTTGTCACACACCAAGGTCAAGAAAATATCAAACAATAGTTTTCCAGTCTTGACCATCACCACCGTAAAAAGAGAGCAATCCATCGTCCTGCACAGACTGCTGGCGCTTGCTAGGACACGTGAATTCATCTGGGAAAAAGCCAGTGTACGTCCCTGGTTCCACATGGGCAAAATGCCTTACCTTTAGGTCCCCTCAAACCGAGAGCCCCAGGGGGACCCTTCATGCCTGGGAGGCCACGATGTCCCATCTGGCCAGGAAAACCATTCTCTCCAGGGGGTCCTGGGGGACCGGGGGGTCCAGGTGGCCCTGGGAGCCCAGAGGCTCCCGAGTCGGGACGCTTGAGGCTAGCAGCCATCTCAGCAAAATGCTCTAGAAAATAATGAACAAAACAGCCCAGAATTGTCAGACACATGGAAGTGATTCAGATGAAAAGAGAGGTATTCCAAGTGTGTTTTTTTCTCAATGTGTCACCAGAGCTTCAAAACCGGTGATGAGAAATAAGTAAAGCAGGGTCATTTTTTTCACAAGCTTTCTGCCAGGAAGCTTCACTAGGGATGCTTTTCTATTCAGCCCTCCCTGGATAAACCTGGTCCTGCTGCTTTGAGACACGGGGGAGGGAATAAAAGACCTTAAACTGCAGGGCTCTGGGCTAAGCGGTGCTCCTCAGGGGGGAGGGTGTCATCTGAACCTGCTGGTTATCTGAAAGCCAGGAGGAAAGTGAGTTTCTCAACACGGGTAGGCAGTGGATGTCCAGGAGCTTTTTGAAAGCCAAGGACATCATCCAGAATTAATACTGAGACACCCTTTGAGACCCAGGCTTACGTTTTTAGCTTGAAGATACTTAAGTCACATGAAATATCCAGAGAATTCACGACTTCCTATTAATAATCCTTCCCAGAAGTTTTTTCATGCTTGGAACAGACACCAGACATTAGAGCTCGCTCCCTAAGAGTGTTCACAGTCTGTCTGAAAAATTAATAACTGCGTAGGCTTTTCCAGGAATATTAAAGAGACTAAGAACCATCCACAATAACTACGGAGAACAAGAAAACGGTCCCATTAAAATGCTCTCAGGGAAATATTCTAGTATAATATTTTTTTTAAAGCTTTTAGGGTGTGAAGGACAATATAAATTGGAAACCCATTTTTAACCAAGATTTTAAAGTTGTTCAAATAGGAGTGTCCTAAGCTGGCCTTCTTTAGGTAAGAGTTAGCATAAAATCGTCATTTTCTCAATATGAAATATTTAAAATTGAAATATCGTGTCAAGATAAAATGTCGACAGCAGTGGTTTTCAAATATAGAGGTGACGATTCCATTCTGGAAAACCTGATGAATCCACTAGATAAACTTCCTACCTCATGAATGTATGAAAGAGGAGTGTTCTTTCATGATAGAACTGATTCCGACAAGAACAAGATAATAGCATCGCCATAGTTACAGATGAATTCAGAAAAAAAGCTAACAAATGCAAAAATATGTCACTACTTCGGTAAAATTCTAGTTATTGATTTTCTACATACATGGTACCTGAGTAGAAGCAATGTCCTTATGCTTCTTAGAGGCACGGAGACTGCCAATTATTTCTCATATAATCCACAGAGAGAGTCTAGGTCAGTGCCAGGTACACAGTAGGCGGTAGGATGTTAACAGGAGAAAGGTTCTGCGAATTTGTGTTCCAAAGGGGAAAAAAGTGTGTGTGTGGATGGCTGTGTGTACTTTCTTATAAATCAACCCCACTGGCAGGAAAAAAAAATTCCAGGCTAACCCAAAAGGCAATATTTTTCTTTTGAGGCTATAAGCTATTGCAAATGGCAACAAATTGGATAAAACAGAATTGAAATGAATGTTATTCAAAATCTCCCACCTTTATGTCTGTGAGTCTTATGGTTACCAAAGGGGAAGGGGTGGGGAGGGATAAATTGAGAGCCTGGGATTAGCAAATACACATCACTATATATAGAATAGATAAACAACAAAGTCCTACTGTATAGCACAGGGAACCATATTCACTACCTTATAATGACCTATAATGAAAAAGAATAAATATATATGTGTAACTGAATCACTGTGCTGTACACCAGAAACTAACACTACATTGTAAATCAACTACATTTCAATCAAAACAAAAAAATCTCCCACCTTTAAAACATACAAAATGTCAAGCCGTTCTGATGTATTTACCTTGAATGACTCTTACGCAAACCTGCTTAATGTGCTGATCTGTGGGTGCTCTACCCTGGGGTGGAAAAGAAAAAAGACAGTTGTACACAGAACCATAAAGGGGACATTGTTAGATGATCAAGTGTCAGACTTGGCAAGGAGCCAGATCGTCTGGATTTGCAAGAGAAATGGCCCAGCTGCTGAGGAGCTGCGGTCTGGTCGTGCCCAACTGCCCCTCTACCCCCAACCGGTGCTGTGGGACGGAGTCCCCAAAGGGAAACCCAAGACTGCCCATCACTCACTGGAGGGCCCTGGATACCAGGCAGGCCGGTGGCACCCTGTTCTCCCTGCATGCCTCGTGGTCCAGGCGGTCCTCGAGGTCCTTCCTCTCCAGGAAGCCCCCGGCTTCCTTCAGGCCCCCTCAAGCCAGGCTCCCCAGGGTTACCTGCCTGGAACACAACAGCACACTGTAAAACTGGGCCACGTACAGGGAATGTGTCTGCTTAATACCAACACAGGCACTGACTTGAAGCTGCGGGTTGACTTGCATCCCATTACCTAAGACGTATTTGCTCAGAGGCTGCGAATCCTCCAGGTAAAGACACACGAGGCCATGCGACAACACTCCCGTCTCTTAGAATTCCAGTTCATGTAAACTTTTTAAAGATCTGTCTTTCTGGTATAGTTATTATTTCAAAATGTTAATTGGAATAATCCATTTTTAAACCACGCTCATCATACTTTAAGCCACTTCTAACAGCAAGGTAGTTTTTAATGAAATGTGTTAACTTTTCCTGGCCACCAAAAGGCTGCTGAGTTCACAAGACACATTACGTGGTAGATCACCAATACAGAAAGCATCAAATAAATGTATTTCCAAGAACGTAAGTCATTTAGCCTTCATCACAGTCTCTGGAGAATTTGGAGAAGTCGCATGTGTCCGGGACTTATAAAATACTAGCATAAATTAAATCAGTGTATTTAAAATACTGCATTTAAAATTAATGCATTTAAAATACCTGAACAAAAAGTGAGGGTCCATAATTTAAGTATTGAAGAAGTTAAAAATCTAAATATTAAAGATGTTAAAAAATAAATCAATGATTTCCTTAGCACAAATGCATACACCAATTAGATTTTTCTTATGAAAGCAGACCACTAAAAGCATCTACAATAATTCCTTTGAAAAGAGACTAAACTTATTCACTTGTTGTCAAACAACCTCTAGTGGAATTTGTGGCATAGTAGTTCCGGTGTACAATTGTTTACAGAAAAAGAATGAGAAGATAAAAAGGCAGGAGGCATCGAGGGAATGCCAGGGCTCAAGACATAAATGTTCCTAAAACAACTCAATCCTGCTTCTTTTTCATATGCAACATTTGCCTGGAAAAAGCCAACTCGTTCCAACATTCAAATGTTTTAAACTAAAGGAAGAAAGGTGATGAAGCAATGCTTTCCCTAGACACATTGAAATAAAGCTCAGAGTGTGCTTTTTCCCAATCTCTCTTTATGCAAAAAAATAACAGAAACAAAAAAACCTGACATTCATCAAGTCAACCTGTCAAAATTGCTTCTATGAATAAATTATGGCTTAAAAGACTTCCTGAAAGTCAGAGTCAATGGGGAGAGAGAGCTGAGAATGGAATGAAGGCTGGGCAACTGTCATGTGACCAGGATGCAAAACCATAGCAACTTCTAAAAAAATAAAATAAAACCTGGAGAATAAACCAAATGAATTCAGAATGCACTAAGAACTGGCACATGTAACATGTAAGAAGGAATGTGAATGGTCTTTAGGAGAAGAGGAGGACTTTCAGTTGACAGCCAGTGACCTCAGAAAACAGAGACTTCAGTCCTACAACCACTAGGATCTGGATTCTGCAGACACCCTGAATGAGCTCAGAAGTGGGCTCTTCCTCAGAGCCTCCAGATAAGGGCTTAGCCATCCAATATCCTGTTTTCGGCTTTTCAAGACTCCAAGCAGAATCCAGTTGAATCAATCCCAACTTTTACCTGCAGAATTGAGATTTAATTAATGGCTTTGCTCTAAGCTGTTAAAAAGAAAGAAGAGGAAAGAGGAGAGGAGGGGGAGGAGGAAAAGAAGGAGAGGAAGGAGAGGAGGAAGAGGAAGAAGAGGAAGGAAGAGGAAGAAGAAGGAGGAGGAGTAGAAGGGGAATAAGGGGAAGAAGAAAGGGGAGGAGGGAGAGGGGGAGGAGGGGGAGGAGGAGAAGGAGAAGGACTAGAACTAGTAGAAAACAAAAGAGACCAAATCAGAGGGTGAAACCTTGCTGGCGATGTCTGCAGTATTGCTAGAACAAGGGGCAGGCAGTTTTGATGAAGATGTCAATGGCCAACATGGCCAGGACATCATAAGCGTCCCGGGTCTTTGGGAAAGAATTTCTCAGTTGAGGAGTGGGCTGCTGAAACAGAAACCAGGGACCAGACCTCGCCCACTTACCGGGTTTGTCTGTGCTGAAGTCACTGAGGAAAGGGGAAGTCTTTCTCTTAGTAGCTGTTTCCCCTGATTCTGGGGCTGTACTTCAGTTTCATTGGTGTTACTCGGGTAGTGTCAGAAAAGACAGGGGTAGGAAGGGTTGGTGATAAATCAAGAGCTAACTCCTAGTATTATATCCAAATTTAAATGGAATGAACTCATTTGACATCTGCATTGTTCACCCACTTTTATTGTCTTATAACTTGAATTATCACCATTGGACATCAGTGATTATTTCTAGACAGTAAAGAAGGATTTCCATTCCCAAATTCTACCAAGGTTTATTCTTTACGTTGTTCCCAGTCCTCAGCCATTGCTGTCAGATTCTTAGGCACAGAGGTGTTACCTGAAGCCCGAGACTGTCACAGGGCATTCAGAAGTAGCATGTAAGCAGCTGAAGTGACACAATGTGATCATTTCCATCTCAGTGCTGTGTGATCAGCCCAGGCAGGGCACTGGGACCCAGCCTGGGCGGGTCCTTCCAGAGAAAGTTGGGCTGAGGATGGTGTTAAGCGCTTAAGTAGGAGGCACTATTTTAAGGAAAGAGGAAGAGTGCTCCAGGCTGGGAGAACAGCACAAGGCATGAAAAAGCATTTAGTTGAGCTGCAAACAGATAAAGTTCCACAGAGGTCAGAGATGACTGGTGAGGTAGGGAACGCTTCGCTGAAGCCTTTGTATGCACTTTGCTAAGGATCTGATTTTACTCTATGAAATGTTATTCTTCAAGGGTTTTAAGCAGAGGAGGGACAGACTGTGGGTTTTGCCCTTTTTTATCTAGATGACACTGGCTGCCGTGAGGATAACGTGTTGGGAAGGGACAGAGAGGCTTTGGCTGGGGGGCCGGGGGGGTGGATTCTGGAAATAGTAAGGACTTGGAAATTAATGGATCCTGGTTGTAGTGACACTTAAGACTGAAGTCTCAGCTTCATCCTTTCTATTTATATTATCCTAAATTTCTTACTAATAAATTTGCACAACTTTTAGTAAATCATCTGAGGTCTGCTATTGATTGATTCTCTAATTCTGAATTCATCTCCTCTCTAGGGACATCAGCTGAGTTTCTGTAAAGTGATCAATTGAATGAGATGATCATTTTCTACCTCTAATAATTATCTGTATTTTCTTAAGCATCGTGCCTGTGACTGACTTCAGCAACTAGAATACAGAGGAGATTAAGAAAATTACTGAAATATTTGCAATGATACCACTGACAAGGAAATTCAGTTCCCCTCTCTTCACTGCTAAGCACAGTTCAGTTCTTGTAAAAGTGACCCATTATGGAAGAAATTACGACGTACTCAGTGAGCTATTTAGGAAAAAAAAACTTCCTTTAGCATGGTTAGGTCAAAATTTAGTCCCATTTACACTGTTGTAAGGTTTTTTTTTCCCCCTTTGGACTAATCCATTACTTAAAGAATAAATTTAGACATTAATTTCCTTAAAGGTAAGTCCTTTTAGAACTGAATTTTACAGAATGATTTCATAAAGCAGAACATTGCATTTTCTACAGTTTTATTGATATTTTTATTTTTATATCATGATTATTATACTTACAGATCCCTTTGGGCCAGGTAATCCTATATCTCCCTAAATCAGTAAAACACAATTATATTAGAACATTGTATTCACATCTGACAGTTCACTAAAAACATTTCAGAGGGACTGTGCTGCTGAAGTCTACAGAACACCAACAAACAGAAGAACCCTGGCCCCGCAGAAAAACATTAGATTCAAAATCTGGATTCTGGTCCTAGCTCTGCTGCTTAACGTTATGATCGTGTGTGAGCTTTGCAACCTCCCAGCCTTGGGTGACCTTGTCTGTTAAATAACAGGGTTCAATAGGCGCTCTCCAAACTCTATCCTCATCTAAAACGCTAGGTGTCGAGAATTAAATGTCTAAGTCAAAAGATATTAAACCATCATGCTGCTATAAATAACACAATAGATATTTAAACAAGGTGACCTCATTTTTGAAACCCTAACAATATTTTCAAACTTGTCCCCAAAAATCTATCTGAATAAATATACATGCTTTTATGCCTAAAAAACAACCTTGAATATCTCCCACCACTGGTTTTAGGTATAAATTAGCTTGCTTTAGCATATCAGCACATTTCCACTACAAAAAAGAATGATGTAAAACATCCTCTTAGTGGGGAGGTCTAGCTCAGTGGTAGAGCACATGCTTAGCATGCACGAGGTCCTGAGTTCAATCCCCAGTACCCCCATTAAAAAAATTAAATAAATAAATAGACAAATAAACATAATTACCTTGCCCTCAAAAAATTTTTAGAAATCCTCTTAGCTTATAAAATGAACAGTTTTAATAGAAAATAAAATTAGAATAATCCTTTTGTCATTGACTTAATAGTTAGGAAGCTCAGCCTAATTCAGATATTACATTTATAGTAACCCTAAATCCTAAAAATCTGAATCAAACAACATTACCAGAATTTTCTCCTGTACTAAGTGCTTTCTGAAATGATTTTATGAGAACTCTGTCACCTCCCCACCCCAAAGGACCCAGCATAAGTTTCCACATTAGGTCACATTAGATTGTGTCAAAACCAGACAGCTGAGTCCACAGACCTAGCAGTGCGGGTGGCAGTGGTAACTTGCTCTCATTGTCACTGCCTTCCTGGAGATGCAGCTGCAGCCTCCTCTGGGGGTGGAAGTCTCTTCTTTGGAGAGTTTTAGACTCAAGAGAATGGCCACCAGGGTCACACTTGTGAGCCGCAATTTCCCAACTATAACAAAACTTTCCTTTTGTTTCCATGATAAGCACTGTTCATAGACTTTCTACAGTCATGTAAGAATCACCCTGAATGTCTAGATGGAAAGTCACCGAAAATTTGCCCTTGAAAGGGAACACTTTGTCCTCCAAACGCTTCAGGCTAGGTCTATTGATCTGAGGGTGTTTCCCACGGCTTTACTTGATCCTGGCTACAATTCTAGGGGGTCATTTGTCAGTTATATAAGCAACACCTTAGCCTTTAAAGAAGCCAGCAAAGATAGCAGTGTCAGCAAAAAGAAAATGTATATGTTTCTAATAGAGTCAAAATCAGTAAGTCTCCATCAATAACCAGTAAATCTCCATCAATAACCAGAAAAAAAGGTCTTACGAGTTCACCCCTTTCTCCTGCTTCACCTTCTTCCCCAGAGGGACCCTAAAAAGTAAGATTAAATGTCACATTGTTTACAATTCTTAGTCCCTTGGCTCAATCTTAACCAGCTGATATTGCTAAGCATTCCTAAGTCCCCACGGCGCCCCCTAGATCATGCAGAAATACACAGTGCTCTCAGCGGCTTTCCAAGCTAGCTGTCAGGGGCTGGGCCCAACCAGAAAACAGCCCAGAGAAAAGCAGGAGGTGAGGCTGAGTTTCTGCTAACGTTAAGGATTATTGACTGTATCTAGCAATTTTGTAATTAGGGAAGGCTTAAAAAGGGCTCTGACAGCAGAAAGAAAAAAACAGAGGAAGGGCTACCTCTAATTCATCTGCATAGTTTATTTGCTAAGGTCTTGGGTAAAGAAAAATAAATTATGG